CAGGTCTTACAGGAAAACAAAACAAGTCAAAGAGCGTGCCATTAGAAATAAGAGCCGAAATGATACTGCAAATCGAGAGCGGACTATAAACAAAATTTACTATGGGTCACACCGTCCTCCGGAAATCAGGAACGGAAACTTTACTCTGACATTTTTTACGAGCAAATCAAGTAAGAATGAAGCAAATAACGAGAAAAATTGGGAGGATTAAAATGGCAGAAAATGGAAACTAGTGTAGGACATTAGCTTCAGGCAGCTTTCATCTTTTGCTTTATCAGCGTTCTGAGTGGTTCTGGAATGATCAGCGTTTTGAAGAGACATGCATCTGAGGTCGAAGACTGGCGCCTCAACTTTTCCCAAAATCCTCGAAACGTCGACGCAAAGTATGAAGGCAGCCTTGCATTTGCTGAAACAAACATCCCCAGGTATTTTCTTTTTTTTCTGAATGTCTCGTTTCACACAAAGGTTGTGATCTGGGAGGGGCTTTCATGAGAAACTACACAGCAAGTATCGAGTGAATTATGATATTGCTTAGCTTTTTAGATTTGCCCCTAATCTCCTGTCCTTGGCTACGTAGACTGTAAAGAATAACACAAACCTCAAATTTGCCAGCCGTGTCAGGTGTAAGACCAGATGAAAGTTTCGTAAGAATGAGATCAAATCCGAGATCACATACTGTCCTTGGGCTTGTACGTAGACAGTCAGTTGGAGCTAAGGAAGTATCATTTAAACTGTAGTTACAGAAGGACACAAAGACTATTTATGGGTACAACTCCTTTTGCCACACTAGATTATTATGGTGGAGGCACTCTTAGGTCGGGTCTCAGGATTTCTGTCAAACGCGATACCTTCCTCATGCTCCTTTTCTCTTCCTTCCTCTCTTCCCTCATCCCTCTTGTTTATTTTACTCGCTCCAAATGTGGGCCAGAAGATGCCGTGAGGAATTATCTCTTAGCCCTCGCAGCGAGAGAACATCACGCTTTAACCATGGTAGATTAGCTGGTTCAGTCACCCTGGAAACTCGGCCCAAATAAGAGACTTTTCGGAACTGGCCCGCAGTGATAACAGCCCATTCCAGTGCATGGCAAGTAAAAGCTGTTCGAGCCACTCCAAGTGCTTAGCAACGACAATGTGGTCGGAACGTAGGACAAAGGAACATAACAAAGCTCCAAAGACAAAAGATTTCACACACATCATTCCATAAAAACCTCAGGAAGGCCGAATATGGAAGCTATAAAGACTAGCTTTTATAAGTATCATACTCACAAACCTATAGAGAATGAGCTTTGCGGGAAATTGCTATGATGAAGAACATAGTTATGTTGAATACAACTTTGAAGCTGAAAGTAAGAGTGGATTAGGAAGTATGACGAGCGAACGATGAAACATTCTCCCCGATTTACCTTATCATTTGGTGTGTACGGCAGACAGTCGACAGTGTACGTGCCGATTTGTTCCGCACCACCGCCCTCTAAAAGGCGCTCTACTTCTTTGGCGGTTTTGTCGTGTTCAAAGACCCATGACACTCCCATCTTTGAAAAAAAGATTTTAAAACTGATATTTAGAAAGTGGTGAACAGTTAAATATCAGAGATAGAGCATTCAACTACATATAATAGACAAATACATCTGCGAACGCGTACGTTTAGTATATTCTTGAGATGTACATTCACCGGTTCTAAACAAGTTCCTGACTGGGTTAGACGAACTCAGCGCCTTTTATCGATAAAAGGAATTGTACGGGCACGTGATAACAAGTACACTGATTAAAAAAACAACACGAATTTCTACTCAGAAATCGATGGGAACAGAAAATTGTGCCTTTAAACTGGGATTAACACAATGGTAGAGGAGATCAATGAGCAATAATGCACCACAAATCACTTGTATTGACGGAACTTATAACATGACAAACAAAACCAGCAGCGTTTTCCGGGTATAATGAACACCCCTTCAAAGCAAAATGTGAACTGGAAAGCTTTCACACAAACAAGGTTGATGATCTGATGATCACGGTGATTTCAGCTCATATTCTCGAAATTTTATCAGCTGATATTTCATAACTGGCACTAGCTCGGGAGGAATCGGGGTTGCACGTAGGCATTTTGGCGGTACCACTGAACATTCGAAGAGAAACAAACACGGATCACCTTCATCCGCAGTCATTTCACTCGGAAAAGTTGACAGGTGTGTTGTACCTAAAATGGTACAAAAGTTTAGTTTTCGACATTCCGTTAGGCCGCGTTCAGACTTCGCGTCACGCGACTGGATCGTGCCACCGCGGTAGGGGACCAGGGCGCACCATCCGTTGGGGATTGGGTCGAGTCCGTGCGACCCTCTCACCCCCTCCCCTTTTTTTTTTTTTTGGGGGGGGGGGGAAGGGGGGGAGGGGTAAATAGCACATGTGAAACAGGAAAAGCCGCGAGACAATACGACCCCCCCCTCTACCAATTCTCAGATTTTCCCCAACTTCCTGCCACTTTTTCCAAAATTTCCCGAAAACTTCCCTACTTTTTCCCAAAAATTTTGCTGTCGAGCGGGGGTGTATAGTACACATGAAACAGGAAAATCACGAACACCAATCCCTCCTAGAAAGGTCAGAAAGTGTAATACGAACCCCCCCCCCTTAACAACAATGACCAAGTACGACCCCCCTCCCCTTTACAACGTCCGTGAAGCGAGAAAAATCAACTATCAAAATAAATTTTTCTCAGCCCAAATACGACCCCCCTCTCCTGGCGGCCAAATACGACCCCTGCTGGGGATTCCTCAACAACGATGTGCCCTGTAGGGAACGCTCCATCGCCAAACGGTGTACCAACTCAATGGCACAGTTTACATTGTCTGGTGTGAACGCGGCCCAGTTTGAAATCTGCCACAGCGGCGGCGCGCCGCTTGGCGATGGAGCGCCCCTAATAGTGGTCGCGCGATCGCGAAGTCTGAACCGGGTCTCAATGGTTATCGTAAGCAATCAACTAACCTGTATCATCTCTGATAGTGGGTGGAGACGTAGAAGAGAGCAGAGCACATACTACAGTTTGTCCTGATGTTCGTTTTGCTAAGGTGGAACAGTCGTCCCTAGCTAGACCCATGTAGTGTTTGGGCGAATCTATTGAGAAATACAGTCTTGCTCACTGCCGATGATGAGGGTGTCAGCGCGGCTGCGTTTGGCGCGCTGCCAGCCCGTTCCTCACCAGCTGGTGAACGGGTATGTGACAACAAGGAAACGACCTAATTCGAACGATCTGGAACAGTTAAAAAAACGGTTGGCACTGCGCCAAACGCGCTGACACGTCCCATCATCCGCAGTGAACGAGACTATAACAATATCGAAAACATCGCATAACAAAACATTATAAAGAAATATGCGAGATGTAAGGTTTCGAGGAAAACGACTCAGATTCACAGCGTAGCAGTAATACCAGTTTTATAAGAAGGCACTTCCATTCACGAATAGACCAAATTCTGAAGGAGGGAAAAACTCACTACTTTCGCAAAAGGAGAACGAAATGGGCTAACTTAGTACATTTCGTAGAGTAGGTTTTTCTGATAACGCTTCGCCAAGAGCTGGCACAATGTAGCGCCGACTTAACTCTGGAGGTGAAACAACCGTTTGAGTATAAGAGTCAGCTAGTTGAACGCGGTGATCCCCAATTCGAAAACCACGTGCTGTCCACTTCACTGCTTTCCACTCATTGTCTCCGTCACGCTTGATGGCAGTGAATAGTACACTGTCACCTGAAAATTCTGTAGAGTAGAACAGTGCAAAATTACAAATATATTGCTTTTTCAAATCATTTTCGGGACTTTTTGGAGATTTACTGTGACCTCTAGTAATTTATTCAAGCTGCTGCTGGCAGCGCTCTACCTCTACCTCACCCCCCTACATTATGCGGGTAAAGTCTGTCATCTACAACACTCCTCACTACTCATTATGGATCTGACTGGATGAACTACACGGAAGGAAGTCCCAGCGCTCCCATCGGATTGAGAGGGAATCATGGGTATAAGGCCCGATAATTTGGTCAAAAAGGCAGCGTTCAGACTTCGCGACAGCAGCGCGTCGGTAACGTAATCGGTGCTTTAGTAAACATGCGCATCGATCGCGTCGAACACGCGACTGATATGCTGCCGTCGCGAAGTCTGAACGCTGCCAAAGAGTAGCGTGGACGCTAGGTAGTGGGGAAATGACAAAAAAGCCAAGTTTAGACCAAAACCTGTGAAAAGCTTCGTTCTGTATGGCACTGGACAAGCATTTCTGGACGTGTTCTCCATTGGCGTCACGCCAACAACCGCTGGAAGGTGCCACGTTCCTGTGGGCGTATCGACTCTGTACAGCTGTCCATTTAGCGTGGCACTAGCCTTTAAGCAGAGAGGGACACAGAGGTAAGGCGAGTGTACCTCGCATGGTGCGCCTGTAGCAGCACTAGGTGCACTGGCCATAACTGCTACCTCCACGGTATCTCATTTTCTGCACCGGATAACTCGTCCGTATCACTCAAATGCTCAGTTGCGTGTGTCTCAAATGTGAGTCAATTTACACCAAATTACAACTAAGTTGCAGGATTGAGGCAACCAAGCTAAACTCAAGGTACGGTGTCACATCCTGAGTACGTCTGAACTTCGTTTTGAGTGTGGGTAAGTTCACCCTAATAAACCTAGAAACGTAGCTTTCCAGACGTAAACAGAAAATGTGAAACCATATTCACGGTCCGTAACAACATCACTCGATACATCTCTTCCCGAACGGACCCTTCGTCCTACCATCCTTCACTGGTCGAAAAGGCCGCTCAGATTACACAAACAAATCTAGTATGTGGGCTTGAAATATTGTACTCCAAACTACACATAATTATCTGCAGTCCAAAGAATTGGAGATGGTGCTGGGTTCCAATGTGTAATACCAGCTAAAAGGGAAAACAATACGAAATCACTACCTATACTAAGGATCTCATCGAGCCACTCTGCATTCATTCCTCCATCACCTCCAATCCAAGAAAGAATCGTACACCTGGTAAAAAGGTCTATAACGATAAAGACAGAGAAAGAGACGAAACACGTCCAACATTGTTTGCAAACAGGAATCAAATCCGACCAATAGCATTGACTAATATCACATTCAAAAGTAAAAAAGTGAATGAACTTGCTAAGGAACCCACTTAACTTCCCCATAAAGTGGACACCAAACAATTGCATGGAATTTCGTCAATGACACAATCTTTCCGCAACCTATAAAACCGTATAAAAGCGTCGTAAAACTAGAACTCACTGGTGTACAATGGTATATATTCTAGAAATGTTCCCCTGATCTTACCAGTGATAAGCGGTCCCTGAGACTTGCTCAGCTTCGTCGCGGATGTGGCTATCCATTTACAACCGTTTACATCACCCTGGGCACGAACTGACACCAGCAGTTCATCACCTTAAAATCATCACTCCATTAGTGCTTAGTAGCAAAAAAAAAAGCAGGTGAAGAAGTGGTTGAATGAGGTACTCGGTGGAGCTACGAAGTGGTCCTCTTTCCGGTGTAGCCTAGGCAAGAGCGGACGACAAAAGTCCGCGCGCAGTTTCATCGTGAGTAGCAGAGGAGCAGACTCCGTCGCGCTACTGCGTGCCCCTCCCCTCCCCTCACCCCGCCCACAAAAGCGCCAAAAAACAACCACAATAGAGAAATGACGGAAGTAAAATCCAATGAGAAGCAAATTTAACTAATCAGCCTTTCACGAGAAAAGTGTCACCAAGACAAACCTATGTTTAGGTACGAGTTTAGTCGTGTTACTTCCTCTGCAGAAAACGCTGCGCCTGGGATGAAAACCGATCCAAATTCGTCACTGATTCCAAAAGCCAGAGTTTCAGATACATTGGTGACCACGACCCGCTGAAGAATAGAATAAAAAGGCAGTTTTTGCATGAAACGGCCACTGCAGCTTTAATGATCATTCGGAAGTGGAGAAATATTAGTTATGCCAAAGGCGATGAAAAATAAACGAACCAAAATGTAAAATTGAAAAATTCCATCATGTGGTCAATGGGAAAAAAAATTAAAACCTTGTCTGTGATTAGCGCGACATTTGATCCACTGGGTCCAGCTGCCATACACGGAGCACGTTGAGAATTATTATCCATTTCAAGAACATTCTTCAATTGGCGCACCTGGAATACGAAGAGTTCGTACAAAAGCGGTAGAAAGCATGACCCGGTCTGAAAGAGAGGCTCTCCTTACAGAACAGCGGCTCAAATAACCAGTGCTCTTATGATCCTGACGAGCCTGGTACCGGTTTACAGGACCTGGAGCAATGGAGGCATGGCTGGCCCGGAAGGGATTGGATCCGAGTTTGTATCCCAATGTTGTGCTGGATGAACGGCGCTACTCCCCGTTACACTTTTTAGGCTCCTCCACCACCTCCGCCCACTTTGCCCGTTTACTAGCGTGAACATGAAATTTGAGATGGAAAGACTGAGTGCACAAACAATACCAGTATAAACTAATCTATAATCGTTAAACATCACCTTCACAGCTCTCCATTTGCATCCATTTTTTCCCTCCTGCGGGACCATAACGACACGTACAATGTCGCCAACATTGTAACGCATTAGAAAACTTGGCACATGTTCCGAGGATGGTATTGCAGCGGCTAAAGGACAGAAAACACTTCCGTGAGGTGTCTCAATGAAGGCGAATTTGGTTTCCACACGAGTGAGACGACCATTCACAGTGATTTTCTCCACCATCTCTTACCCTAAAATTATTACCGAATCAACATATGTAATGAGGACCCTGTCGCAATAAATGAATATCTCAGAGATAAGGTTGCATTCATGCTTCGCGTCGACGTTTCGAGGTACAGCGCTACGTTGAAGCGCTTCGGGCGGCAGCGTTTTCAGCTTACGCCAGCATTTTCAGCTACTGCCGCGGAGAACTTAAAGACAGCTCCCGCGATAAAAGTGTCATGGATAGTTGCTTTTCAATTATGAAACAGTAGCTGATAAGTAATCCCCAAAGAAGAAAAAAAAGCAAGAAGAGTCCTCAAGAACACTATAAACAAAATGCTCCCTGGCAGTCACATCTTCCTGCGGTCTCTGTGCAACCCCTGGCTCACAAATTCCTTTATCACATCTCCCAGTAGTGGGTATCATCCAATGCAATGAAAAGAATACGAAAAACACAGAGAAGAAAATTCTTGAAAAGAAAAAGAAACTTTCAAAAACTCGGCGTCCGAATTAGGGTTACGGTAGCGTGCATCTTTTAGTGTAGTGTAGTGCGTCGAGCTTTTGCACCACGAAAATTGGGTCGCTCGTGATTTTTACGCGTTTTACCTTGCGAGATGTGTTGGAGTTGACTGTATGTGCTCCTGATTGAATAAAATGTAATAAAGGAGAGCAGAATCATTCATGGGCATGAGCGCTGTCAGCGAAAAAGGACATGCAATTCCGATTAATGCCCGCCGCCCCAACAAAGAACAACTGAGCTGCCCTCCGTCGGAGGGCATCTAGCAAGTGGGCGGTCCAACTGAGCGGGCGTTAGAACTAGAACTTTCAGCGGCTGTAGCTCGCTAATCGCTCGCTGTGGAGTTGCGAGAGTGGGACAGTCTCTAGCTTGGGGCTGTACTACTTGCACAAGGAAGGACGACTGCACTACTTGAGCGCGGGAGCTGTCTTTAAAACTATCCAAGAGACCCTCAAAATGCTACAAGATTATAAGTTCAGGTTGTTAGGGGTGTACAGTACCCCCGAAAATTGCGCGTGGGATTAATTGTGTTGTCCGTGGATGCACACAACGGGGCCTGGTTCTGTGCGGACCACTTATTTTAGGCGTGGGGTACTGTACCCGGCCGCGGGGCAGGTGCCTGCCGGGGTCGGGCGGGTCGCTGCCCGGGTGGCCGCCGCACCCCGGAGCTTCCCCCACTGGGTCAGCCGGTTATGCAAATGCCGTATAACAGGAGCTATTAAACGCACCTCAAACTTGGGTAACTAAACCGATTACGGTGCGCCCGATTGTGTGCGTTCACGACGCGACATTTTTAACTTCACGCGCAATTTGGGGGGAGGGGTGGGGTACTGTACACCGTCTAACAACCTGAACTTATAATCTTGTCAAAATGCTGGCGTACGCTCGAAAGTCAGATTAATACTTATACTTCCCTTGCCACTCAATATGCCACCGTACGCGTACGTTGACACAAACTGTTGCACTCTAACACGGCCTTCATACTTAGCGACTAGCGAAGTAGTCGCGCGACTGCGGCCAACCGCGCTCCGTCACTAATCGTTGAACCGCGGCATCGACCGCGAAGAATATCTGTCAATCGCGAGCCTTCCTTCTCCTTCCTTTTTCCTTCTTTTTCTTCCTTCCTTCTGTCATGCTCCTTCCTTATTTCCTTTCCTCTAAAGGCTGGTTCAGAAGATGCGATGAGAAGCTGGTTCAGAAGATGCGATGAGAAAACACCCATGGACCCTCGTCGAGGGAGAATCCGGTTGACAGATGCCTTGTAAACCTCTATGTGTGTGTGTCTCTCACGTCAACTAGCTAGGAAATTGTGCAATGGTTGGTGAGATTCAGAAGTAACGCAATACACCTGAGACAGCCCATCCTGTAGCTAGCTGAATTAGTAGCTGCATCAGCGGTTCAACAATTAGCAGTAGGGCGAGGTCAGGCGTAGCTGCGCGATTGAATCGGTCGAATCGTGAAGCATGAACGCGCTAAATGCAACGGCTATCATTTCTGTTGATCTTGAGAAAAGTTAAGACATTGGGTCGAAAACGTAGACTTTAATGAAGAATCGGCAGAAATTTGAAGAAAAAAAAACAACAGTCAGTTCTAGTGATGGTTTTCATTGCAGTTTCGCAGGTCCTTCAAATAAGCCTGAGTACTTGGAGGGCTTGTCTAAACTAAGTACGAGTGAATTCAGAAAAACAATCCACGGGCTGTGTGCGCGATTATGATGCCACTTCGCATTGCCTCTCCTATTCTCAGCATGAATAATCAAACCTTGATCTTTTCGTAGTTGTTCACATCTGCCACTGAGAAGTGAGGAAAATCATATGCTACCTCTTAGCATCAAACAAAGAGGCAAAAGGAAGAAAGAACGAACTGGAATACATGGATCATAAGAAGTCCGACGCGCTGTATCACTGGTTTATGCTCTTTGGCATGATTTCCATCACACTGTCTTATAGCGCTAGTCTAAAGTCGCTCTATAAAGTCTTAAGATCGATTGCGGGGTGCCAAGGACAATCAAACTGACGTATCACACGTTGCTGCCCGTATGATTCATAATACTTCCTAAGCCGGCGCGTGAAGATACTCCATTCACGGAATAACGCAAACATTAGACTGGCTTTTCTGTGCCAATAAAGCCATTTTCTCGTTTACTCGAGACCCTTAGTGACTCCTACCCTGACACTGTGTCGTCCTACTACCACTAACCCCTGATAGGAAACTTATTCTACCGCACCACTGCACGAGTCCGCGATGCATATGTGCGAATGACCTCACACCTCAGGCTGTGTTCATACTTTGCGAATGCGTATGATTTGGGAGTACTAGCGTCAAGGAACAGTACAGGCATCGATATCGAGAATCAGCGATTCGAGATTATCGGCGAGATGGGACTGAATTGCGATTCGGCGATTGCGAACCGACGTTATCCCATTACGGCTGCGTTCACTTTTTGTCGAGTTTTGGGAAACTATAGATGTGGGTCACGCTTCACGCTCAACGGAACGACCATCTCTGAATGCTCTAGCTATGTGTACCTAGGTCGTGAAATCAATATGATGAATGACCTTAGCTCCAGAGCTGAGCAGGAGGAAGCGAGCGGCTTGGGGAGCCTTCAAGAACATCGAGGGAGTAGCGAAGAAGACGAAGAACACCAAGCTCCGTGCCCACCTCTTCGATTCCGCGGTCCTTCCTGCCTTGACGTACGCCTCAGAGACTTGGACTCTACGAAAGCAGGATGAGCATGCGGTCGGCGTTATTCAACGCGCCATCGAAAGGGCGATGCTCGGAGTTTCCCGCTACACGCAAGTGAGAGAGGGAATCCGGAGCTCCGCACTCCGCCGGATCGAAGATCAGAGACGCCGCCGCATTTGCCAAGGTTTCGAAGATCAGGTGGGCCTGGCACGTCATGCGTTTCGAAGACGACCTGGACCAGAGCGGTTACGACTGCATTGCACGGCATGTCAAGCGAACATTTGGGATCGCCTACGCGATGGACAGACTTCGTGAAGGCGCTGAACGAATGGTATGAAGTTCATCGCGTCCCTCGAGCAGAGAGTCCATGGGCCTCTTGCACGCTGCAGGGACGAATGGACACGTTACTGGCGCCCGCTCGAGGAACTCGATGATCAACGGGAGCACAGGTGATATAGGTGATAGATATGGATTTACCGCTTTGAGAGAAAGGTTACATTTCGCTTAAAGGCCACTATTTCTCTCAAAGCGCTAGGTTGATAATTGCATTTTCCTTTCCGCGAAAAAACTCAAAACGCCGACGAAAAGTATGAACGGAGCCTAAGGAGAAGCCTGGACACTCGCCACCGCACAGTGGGCCTTGAGGCTGCGTTCATACTACGCGTCAGAATACGTAACGTTGTCGCACGCCATTAGCAAAGTATAGGTATTGGATCTAGCGTACGCCAGCGCAAGTCAGCGTTTGCTCAAGCTCGAGCTGTTGCTGCTCAAGCACAACACTGGCCCCGCGTAAAACGCTAACGCCACGGCACAAGTAACGCAGACTTGAAGAAAAACATCAACAAATAGGAACGCAACTGATGTAGGCAGTTCACTCGTGGTGGATGCACGATTCGCGCATCCATAGAACAAGTCTGATCCCAGTAGAGAAACTGGTTCTTTGCCGAGGGCAAAATGGAAATAGCCCGAATTAGTATTAAAAGAACCGCAAAGATAAGCACTCACTGTCCGAATTCAAAGACTACAATGGAAGTGGTCACGGAGTCGTAGCAGACAAAAGAGCATGTGATTCAACTTCACATGGATGGAACGTGGCTCACGCATTCAACTAATGGTTAAGTACTGAGAGAGTATTCACAGCAACAGCCAATCTAAAGCTCTTCAGTGCAAAATGATGAGGTGCAAAGGCTGCACGACACGTAATCATTGAAGCATGAGTTCTACTCAAGGGACGATAAGATAGCTTCTCAATATCGCTCACTGAAGTTGTCTTTCATTAAGATATTTCAAACAACATCTACAGGATACATTCAGCAACTAATACTGTTGTTCTAAACAGGCAAAACTCTAAAGGACTTCCATAAGCTAACCCACCCTTAGCATTGGAGCTGCCAAAGGAAAGACAAAAACAAGTTTCATTCAACTGAATGTTGGCTGCGCGTAGAGTAAATGATAAGACGCAGATACACCAACCCTAGCATACCGTAATGTCTGGGCTGGTTTTTTACATAGTGATGGTTGATTCCTTCGTTCTTGTCACTCAAATCTTTGGTACTTATTTTTCAGTCGAATACTTTACTGTTTCCACATGCTTGTCACACACTTCGCGTAACATCCTTCATTCAGTTCTTTCCATTTAACCTTTCTATTGCTCTTGTTGCATGATCGTTTACATCACTGCTTGGTGTAAAATGAACAGCAGCTTTTCGTTGCGCGTTTCATATTGTTCCTAAGTACTCGGGGTCACGATCCGGTTATATCATCTGAGAAGAAGCGGAATATCGGCCCTCTGGTGAGGGCTGCGTGCATACTTGTACACGTGTTTCGGCGAGAAAGCGGAAGGTGGTGTATCAATCTAAGTGTTCTGGGGAAACGGCCAGCTTCTTTTCGCTCATAACGACAGCAAAAATCAGCCGGACAAAACTGCCTAAGTGTAGAGCGGTCCGAATGTTGAACATGTTCAGCTTGCGGCTAAGCAGCTAGCGCGAAAATGGTCTGTACTTCTTGCTCTTTAGCAAAACAGTTCAAGATATGATTCCTCTCTCGTGCCCGCATTTCCTATTCGAATTGTTTAAATTAAGAACAATACGAATTCAGGTTACGGAAAATTTCCATGTTAATCGTTTCAGGAGAAAGATGATAGCACTGTGCAGAAATGCCTTGTTATCTCAGTCCAAAAACCTGCTCGCCATTCGCGCAATGGCATCACAACCGGACCCTTTCGTTATGGAAACACTTTCAGGCTCAGATGAAGGTTTGTGATGAATTATTTGGGGAAGAATCTTCAGTATCATGCTAACGTCCGTTTGCCTCTTCAAAATCGCTGTTTTGTTTCACTGTGAAATGGTCCACTGAAATAGATCAGGTGATCTGGATACATCAGAGGCTACATCAAAGGCGCTTAAAGGCACGTCCCGGTTCAATCATGGTGCCTAGTGGGGCTCAGTTACAATTGACTAGTTGCTAGTCAAGTCAGTAGTGGCAGTCAAGGTTTAGTTAATATTGGAGAGGAAAAAGTCAGGAAAAAAGGTCCGTATACCTATAACTGAACCTAATTCAATCAATGCTCATACTAGCTTATAGCGAAGAAAGGGTGTGCTTGGAATTATCCTTCGGTGGTTACATACGATATCAGCCCTTTGCCCGCTGTCACTTTACTCTCTTCATTCGAAACAAAGCTAAAGAGCTAGCTCCAACACAACAACCTTCAGGAAGCTGCAATTCGAACTGAAAGCTGAATGTTAAGGTATGCAGGGGGAGGGGCAAAAAAAAAACTTTTCTTCATTGACTTCGAGGCGCTATAAGTTACACTTTATCTGAATTCTGATCGGACATTTTTACACCATATTGAAGAGCATATCAAATACTATCATGACACTCCGCCACAGCCTTCTGGACGAGCATCGAGAGATTCTGGCACGCGACCGCGATGTGGTGCCTGAGATGCATCAGCGAAATAGTCGATTTCTCCGCTACCGTAGACCACCCTATTCAACTCCGCCCGAACCGGGTAATTGAGGAGATTCTGTCAGGTGACGTACTTGGTATATTCCATCTCGCTTTGAGGTACTCAACGGCTATATTCCACAGGTAGCGGGACGAGTTTCTCGCACGCCCTTCGATTCCAGTATGGTGGCACCCATGCCTGCCTAGCAGTACAAAAGTTTCGCAAAAAAGGTACGGGGCGACAGACATGTGGTGAGGATGTTCTTCTCATTCAAGTTGTTCATGTAACCGCAGCCAGCGACTCCTTCAGTCATCGGTAATCACTATCACCATATCACTGAAATTCAAACTCTATTGTTTCTGGCTGTCGACGTCCCCGATCAGCCCATTCGAGGTCACGATAGGCCTTCATCCGTGTCCCGTCCGCCACAAACAGCGCGCCGCTGCGATTAGGGCGAAGATGATGTCCTAGACCGTAAAGACGTTGTCGGAGCTGCTCGATGTTAGAGGCCATCCAAATCGAGAGTACTGATCTCCAGGTATACATGGGTGACTCCATACCAGAAGTTTCGCAGCTCTTTGGAGGTGACGTGAATTCCAAAGTCTTCTCCAGTCAGGCTGCGACTGGAGATGACTTCATATTTGGTGTACATGAAGGTGATGGGCGAGAGCCAGCTCCTGCTTGTAGAGGAACATCTTGGGTATCTTCCGCCCTGGTACTCGTATCCACGTCCTCTGTCTGGGCAGCGAAAACTTTGCTGATATGTGACTCGGTCGAAGTGTTTTTTTGCCCCCCCCCCACAGTAGTAGGGCACTGGGTGGGGCTGCCTTCATGGCGGTTGAATGATGTCAACGCTTCATAGAGCGTCCATTCAGTTTGGCGTTTCTTCTCAAAGCAGCAATTTATTTCCGATTAAAAAAATAGGGGTGCGTCCATACTTCGCGATTTATCGCTCTGCTTCTGCAGTTTAGATGGCGACCACCACTCACGTGGATACTCGTGCACTACTGCCGCTGAAAACCAGTTGTAAATAAATTTGATGTCGAGGGCTTTCTGTGGATATTTTGACGGTTGGCGTTACTTCTTATCTGTGCATGGTTTTGCTCACGGACGGAAATATCTCCTCATTGGATTTCATTGGATTGTACTTACTTGGACTGGGCTTTTGTATTTTAGGGATTGTCCTGTTTAGGATGAACCGTCCCCAGACCAAGAATGCGATAAGCAAGTTGTTTTTAGAGCAAGTAAGTTGACAGTCGAGACTTCTTTTTTTTCCTTTTTTTTATTGTATGGAGTTAGATCGTGTTTTTAAGAAAGTTTCAGCTCAGGGAAAGTATTTCGTCCGTGAAGTTCAACAAGAATGCACGTGTTATTATTCTTAAGAGTGACGTTGAAGGAGCTTTTTGTACAGGTGCGACGTTAACCTATGCTTTTTCTACTATACAGTTCTTTAAAGGCAATTAGCACGATAAATCCCTAGGATTAAAACGCCTTTCAAGGCAGAATTCTGCACCCCTGAGCAGGTGCTGCGTAGCGCCAATCCCAAAAACGGTACCATTTTATGGCCGTTCCGAGCCAACATACCGACCGGTCGTTCACCGCGCCCGCCCGCCCACTTATGTCCGACCGATGCTAATGTTCGTATTGCTTCATTTGCGAAGTGAAGTATGAAGCGAAGGGTGATAAGACGCGGCCGCCGTGCTGCATGGACATATGAGTCCGTACATACAGCCATATCTACCGTAGTGGTTACTGGCGAGATGCATACGAAAATTCGTCTGTAATCGAGTTGGGTCATTAAAAAGACAGACCCCGCGCTAGAAGTAGTTACATGTTTCCGGTCCTTCCTTTCTTGCAAGTAGTACATCCCCCTAGCTAGAGACTTTCCCACTCTCTTCGGCTCCACAGCGAGCGAGGAGCGAGCTACAGCCGCTGGAAGTTCTAGTTCTAACGCCCGCCCAGTTGGACCGCCCACTTGCTAGGCGCCCTCTGACGGAGGGCCGCTCAGTTGTTCTTTGTTTGGGCGGCGGCATTAATCGGACTCGCGCACATGAATAATTCTGCTCTCCTTTATTACATTTTATTCACTGGGAGCACATACAGTCAACTCCAACCCATCTCGCAAGGTAAAACGCGTAAAAATCACGAGCGACCCAATTTTCGTGGTGCAAAGGCTCGACGCACTACGCTACACTAAAATATGAACGCTGGCGTAACCCTAAATTCGGACCCCGAGTCTTTGGAAGTTTCCTTTCCTTCTAAGGAGTTTTTCTTCCGTGTTTTTGTTGCTTTACGTATTCTTTTGTTTGCACTGGATGAGGTTCACTCTGGGAGAGATGATGAAGGGATTTATGAGCCAGAGGTTGCACAGAGACCGCAGGGAGGTGTGACTATGAGGGAGCGATTTTGTTTATAGTGTTCTGAGGACTCTTCTTGCTTTTTTCTTCTTTGGGGAATTACTTATCAGCTACTGTTTCATAACTGAAAAGCAACTATCCATGACAATCGTGGGAGCTGTCTTTAAGAAAGAAAACTTTTCTTAACAGGTTTTTGACCATTTCATTCGTTTTTTCGCCAACTAAGCACTCTGCTAGCACTCCAGACCCAGCACCAAATTATCGTGCCATGTGCCTTTAATCTTCATTTGAATCCTAATAGCCTTTTCGCTGGCTGCAAAACTAATTTACGGTTATAATAGTATGTTATGTGCAACATATGCTGCTCTCATACACGTTTTTGTATTCTAGGGGCTGACCTCAAAGAACGTAAATCAATGCCTGTGGAGGACGTGCCCAAATTTGTAGACTCATTGCGATCATCTTTCAGTGAGGTACGCCAATTCTCAAACGGTTCCAGTATCGCAGAGTCTGTGCACTCACCTTCACAGAGCTGTTCCCTTGCCATTTGTGAGGTGGTTGGGTCTGCAGTTGCCGTGCCACCTCCTCCGCTCAAAAGAGTACGGGAACGGGGTGGAGGGTAACGATACTCAAAAGCCGTGTCTATACTACGCTCGCGTTGCCGCACAACCAGCCATCCGCCTAACCATAGCTGAACGCGCTGCTTCTCTGCGCTCTCTTACTTCTGATATTATCTGCGGCTGGGTGCGTGTTTCGCTGCTGGACTTTGGTAGCGACGCAAGTGCTGCACTTGAAGATAGCGCGGGCGGAGGATGGAGATGGCACCCGGATACCACTACCCTCCGACCCTGCCATGCACTGTTGAGCGGAGCAATCGTCACACTACCGCAACTACGTACCCACGCACCTCACAAATGGCAAGTAAATGGATCCGCGGATGTGAATGCTTAGTTTGTCCTTAAGCCGATCGTTTTCTTCAGCTGGAGTTCCTCCCTCAACCCGTGATTCGCGGCAATTGATGGCTATGCTCTCGGTGGTGGTCTGGAAATGGCTCTGGCTTGTGATATACGAGTTGCCTGTAAGGATAAAGAAAAATTGCTTGTGCATCCGACTTGTCCTTGTAGACTTCATGTATGTCTTGGGTGCATCAGGAATTGTCAACCTCAGCTTCGCTTGCAGTACCCCAGCTAGATAAATAATGTAAAAAGTTCTTTCCAGCAAGTAGTGCCAAAATTGGATTGACCGAGACGAGATTGGCAATCATTCCCGGAGCAGGTAATTGTTCCATTTCTCTTAGTTGAACTGATTTCAATTCCTAAACTTTTAATCCTTCGTTCAGGAGGTACGCAACGACTCACTCGGGCTGTCGGGCCGTCAATGGCAAAAGAACTTATATTCACTGGGCGAATGATCAGCGGTGAAGAAGCATGCAGAATAGGTTTGGTGAATCACTGCACGAAGTCAGACGCCTTCTCGAAGGCCTATGGAAATCGCACGAGAAATCGTTCCCAGGGTAGGCTTGTAGTTAATTGTTGTTCGGTTTTCACGTCATACTTTCCTGAACCACATAAGAGCAGAAGAAGTTTGAAGTCTTTGCTTCAAATAGACCCTTCACGGGATGCGGCACGCATTCTACCTCCGAAATCGTAGTGGCTTGCTGCATGTGATGTGGCCTATATAAGATGTGACCCTGTGTTTTGCGGGGGCCAGCCAATATAAAAGTCAGCTTTGTTATCCTTCGGGACGATACTGGTACCAATTTACTGTCCTTGGAGGGTAGAAAGCCTCGTTTACTTGGGAGAAAGTCAATCCGGAATTTGACCCTGGTCGGCGGCCTCGTAAACGTGACACTCTCCATTACACCACCTCCGCCTCATTAAATCACTAATGCAGAGTAACGCAAGTATTCCTCTTTTCGACGACTTTTGCGTCCATCTACAGAAGTAATCATCAAATCGGCGAATAAAATTACCTTGAAGGTATTTCTTTGAGTTCCACCCCCCTTCCACCGTATACCTTCTCTCATTTCCTCTTTTCCCATCTTTCTGTTACAGGGTTTTTTCTTCTATTTCTTGCTTCTATTTGTCCTTCGCAATCATTTTCCAGAACAGCAAGCGTGGTACTATCAGATAAAATTCATATTTTGTGGTCCGGGAATAGGAGACTAGAAGAGCGCGCGCCAAAGGAAAGCATAAGCATCGAACCGGCGAATTAGGGATAATCCTAGAATGCGCGTCAAAGCTGTAGTGAATCGCCATCAATGGTTCCCCGTTTCCCCTATGCAGACGGAGTCGATCGATTTTCTATCTTCTCTTTATGGATTCTCCTAACCTCCTATTCCCCTGATTCGCCACATAGATACTTATGTTTCCTTCCACTTGTATGCCCGTTCAAGATACTTATGTTTCCTTCCACTTGTATGCCCGTTCATTCTTGGGTTTACTTCAGGTTTAGAATAGACAACTTTAGGGCATTGACAACCTTTTGAATTTCGTGCTTCACTACCCATCTTGATTTCGTTACTATTTCCGCATGTGCAGACTGACCCGTCATTATTACAAGCAACCCGTTTTCTTTTAATCTAGCTACCAGCAACTGCATGGCACGCTTACTACACGCACTGTCAAGAGTAAATTTTGGACCGGCTTCCGCGCAGGCCAGCTAAGGCTTTCCCTGCGGGGCGGTAAATTGTAGGAACACGCTTGCACATCGGCTGGCCCCATCAAGTCATTGCATAAGCCACAACGCATTCACTGAGCCACTACGATTATTGGGAGGTAGAATGCGTGCTGCATCTCTAAAAGGGATCAGCTGATCAACTTCATCCCTTCGTTGGAACAGAGCAGAATCAAGTAGTACACAATCGGCACAGTACGGAATCGAATAGTTTCTTTCTTGTACTTTTTTGAGCCTGTCACAAAACACTCAGCTCTACAGTATCAACACCTTGCTAGCCAAAAGAATTGTTTTACAAACTGAGCCTTCTTCCCTTCAGGGTCCTCTAGCTGTTCGCCTTGCCAAGATTGCAATCGACACTGGATCAGGAATGGATTTGAGTAGTGGCCTTGTTGTAGAACAGCAGTGCTATGCCCAGGTGAGAAGTTTCTTTCTAACGAGTGGTCTTTCCTTTATTGACATTATATTGTTCCATTCTTTTTCCTGTGTTTTGACTTTACTGCTATCATCAGTCGAAGGATAATATCAATTAGAACATCCTTGTTTAGGTGATACCCACACAGGATCGACTCGAAGGCTTGCGGGCTTTTGCTGAGAAACGTTCCCCTGTTTACAAGGGAGAGTGAGAGTGGCTCACGTTCTAGAGACAGATTGATGAATAACTCTTGTCATGTTTCAAGTTTCACTTCAATAGTCATGATTAATGCTCAAACCGTGTATAATTTCCTAGGATGAAATAAAATATTCTATCTACGATGTGCGCTTCCTTAATGAGAGGTATGTCACCAGCTTTCTGTCTCGCTACGTATTGTTGCTTTGT